GGTTAACAGGAAAATTTTCCTTGACGCAAGTTGTAACATTACAATTTGTAATCGTAAAAATAGATGCAGTACGTATCGACTTCAAATCAATTGGCGAGTAAAAAAAATGTGCTCTCGTAAATTTACAACTTAAATTATACTTCGAGTTTACAAAAATTTTGTAAATTTACGACGATATTTTTTACAGTGAATGAAACGTGTACATTGAGTAAGTTTGAGTAGTGCTCGGCTAAACCGAGAACATGGACTGCTCCATGCAAAGCAATTAGTGCAGATGAAAATGATTGCGTTGCCCTGATGCAAATGTTCTTGTCTAATCAATGGCCAAAAACACGCTCTTCTGAAGTCCATCTTCATATTTAAAAATATTCCTCGAAATCACTCATTTGGTCCAGACAGGATGTTGGACAACAAACGCGCTCATGTTCAGAATCGCACAACAGACTCAATGCATTATTACTCAAATCGGAAACCATCCCTCGTTTATCCTTGTGGTAGAGTGCGGAAGCATTTTACCAAATGAGTGAGCTGGCAGAAGGCCCTCTGAGGCCGGACCTGGCCGGGAGAGGCCTTGGTGCCGCCGCCCCTCCCCCCTTCTCCACCCTCTCCCACCGCAACGTGAGTGACCCCTCCCCCTTCGCCTCCCCCCGCGGGTGCCCCAGTTTAGTCGGCCTATTGTAGCAAAGGCCTTGCACTCTCCACGAGCTGCCCAGTTTTCCAGCCTACTCAGCAATAGGTCCAATTTTCCGCTCCGGTCGCCGCGCACAAGCGATGACACAGTCTATCTCAAAAAGGCCGCCCCTTTTTACCCCAGCTCAGCCTTGCCCATAAATAATCTTACCGCAAAAATCTGAGTCCAGTCCAGGAGGCAAATTCAATCGCCATGAATCACTAGAGGAACCCTGCTGCGGGACGGACCCTACCGGCCATAACCAACCGCCAACAGGAAAAATATTCAACTGTAATGTCCGGGCTCACGACCGCATGAATGGCTAAGCTGTGACGCATGGCTCGAAACGTTGGTACGGGGCGTCAGCAAGAAGTATCGCAAGTATCGCCGCAGGTCGAAAGCGCTTTCCAACCCCCTCAACCACGGGTATATCAGAACTCCGAGTGTTTTTCTTCCAAAGAGTATTCGTTAAAATTAGGATAAAACTGAAGTCAGGCGTCGATTTTCGCAATGGACCTTTTCAAGTTACCCCTCATAGAACACACACAACTTGAAACTTGCTTTCCAGGTTTCTACTTACTTTCCACTTTTTTCATACAATTTCTCTTATGTAGATGGCCAGATGTGAATGACCCATACATTTTACAAAGGGTATCGTAAGGGCGAAAAGGTCTCTGGGAGACGCACCCGTGTCCAAAACCCGAGTGGGCCGTAACGCTCATCCTACAGCCTCAGCCAAATTAAATTACCCACCCACCCACACCTCTTGCATTAGACTAGAGGCAGTTGGCAAGGCGGCGCGGGCTGCGGGGGAAAATAAATCAAATTTTGGAGCGAGCCTGCTCGGATTACAACAAGGTTTCTTAATTTGCACGTTTCAACGAAACCAAGATTTCCTTTTGAGGCAATAACACAGTTACTTGGCATTTGAATTTGGTTTCTTACGCGTCTATATAGAACGATTAACCACCACGCTGCCTAAAAGCCTACGGAGCACATTTCTTTATTCTGGTTACACAGTATTTTAAACTCCTATGTATTGAGAGGTATGGGTTTTGTATTCCTAATTGCCGACAAAACACTTTATTGCCAAACGCCGCATTCGTTACTCAATTATTTTTTTTAAAAAAAAGTTGTATTGCAAGTTTTACTTGAGCCTTTGATTTTTTCGCAGGCTATAATCGTTACCCTTCGAAAATTATGAATGGGTGCTTCGTAGACTTTTGACAGGGTGCACTGTAAAATGCTTACCAAACAAATATTCTTTGCAACGTTGCAAACAATTGCAACCGTTTCATAATATACTGTTTAAATTACGAGGTATTTATTTGCAAACCTGCGAACTCTTTATGAGTTACTTGTTTGTGTTGTAGACTGGCACAGAGTTTGTTTGTTGTCAAACGCCTCAATATGTCATGTACGTTGCAAAGAATAAAACACTTTACAGTGTGAAACAAGGGTAGTATAGTACATTCTGAAAAACAAAACAAATAAATAGAAACTAAATCGTAAAACACGTTTACGGAAGAATCATCGAGTTTTGTAAAGAAGTACACAGGAGGCTTAAAAAAAGCGTAATTCACGAATCATGCCATTGATGTTCTTACTTGCCCTTCCTGGCTCCAAAACTCTTTAAGGTTCTACAGAAAAATTCATTTATGGTGTATTGCGACACCCCGCAGCACATAATGCAGCGCGCGTGGTGCAAAGGAGCAGGGAAGGGACTGTAACATGCCATTTAAGAGGAGCAACACAAGAACAACAAGTTTACTTTACAAAAACACAAACAACAAATTAACAAAAATAAAATAATAAGGAAAAATACAAGGTACGACTGAATGTGAGTCAAGGACATGTGATGCTCACAGAGCCATGCACACACCGCACTTAATAATTATTAATCCATATAATTACTTTAAACAATTATTCCACGATTCTTTGGGGCACGTCGTACCCAACTACGTGGAGCGGCCCGCAGTCGCTCCAGGAAGGGGCGGAGAGATCACTAGAGTAGTCTTGGCATTTTTTTTCTGAGTAATTCAATAGAGAGAAGACTAAAACGTGTCCTAATTGCACGGCAAACTTGCATAACAACACTGAGGAGCGTTCGTATTAACGTTTCGTTTGTCTGGCGAATACTCCTGTCACCATTACAACACTTTCCGCACTTCTAGCACTTTTACGTCCGTTTCAAGACTTGCTTTGGCCCGCAAGCCCCGACGTTCGTGGCAGTAACAAATGCAACAAAATGGTGAAAGGTGAAAGACTTATAAGGCAGTAGGGAAGCCCGTACGTGGCGCTGAGGTAGCCACGGTCTAGAGGCAGCGGCAGCACCGGAGAGCCGTCGGACCCCCCCGGAGGCAGCCCAGCAGCCTACGGGCAGCCACACTCCTCCACCACCATCTTCGGCAGGTCCCTCTTGATGATGTTGTTGTCCATGTCAAAGTAGATGAGAGACATGGAGCTGAAGCGCAGCGGCGCGCAGCAGGGCTGCATGTCCACCAGCTTGTTGAGGCGGCGGTACTCCTCCATGACGTGCGTGTGGTAGTTGTGGTAGGTGTCGGGCGTGCGGTAGTGACTGCAGTTGCCCCGGCAATAGTTGGCGCGGTAGCCGCCGGGCGCGATGATCCAGTCGTCCCAGCCCAGGTCCTTGAAGCTCACGTACAGCTCCTGCTTGCAGCACTCGCCGGGGAGCGCCCCCGAGCACGCCACGGCGCGCCGCCGCACCCGCCTGCAACAACACACCAGTCAATCACTTGCGACACACCACGCTCACGAGACCGTCCCAAGACGAGTTTATTGCCTCCGCGGCAAGTTCTAAATTGGTTTAGCAGCAAAAAGAGCCAACAACGGCTGCGTTCCCCGTTGGCTAAAAACACCAACACAGGTCGTTTTCGCGGCAAGCTATCATACACCCAGCCCCGAAAGACATGTTCCTCAATCACAGTAAACCAAATTAAAAAAAAGAGGTCGGTTAACAGGAAAATTTTCCTTGACGCAAGTTGTAAAATTACAATTTGTAATCGTAAAAATACATGCAGTACGTATCGACTTCAAATCAATTGGTGAGTAAAAAAAATATGTGCTCCCGTTAATTTACAACTTAAATTATAATTCGAGTTTACAAAAATTTTGTAAATTTAAGACGATATTTTTTACAGTGAATGAAACGTGTAAATTGAGTAAGTTTGAGTAGTGCTCGGCACATTTAGTGCGCATTACGCGCATTAAATGCGCAAGGAATGCGTAACCTTTTTTGCGCATTACTGCATTGAATGCGCATTAATGCGCATTGGCGCTTCTGGGGATGTAAAGGGACAATTTTGTCCGTAGATTTGCAACGATTTCGTGCACATCCAGAAAGGATGCAATTTTGTTCCCTTAATTGGACAAATTGTGTGAAGTTTCACA